TGGACTAGAACTCATGGTTTCCTACTTTCTAACCACTGGACTAAACTGCCTCTTTCAAGATACTCTGAGCAGATGGAAAATGCAAAGGCCAAACTGCATTCTTGCAGCACTTCTGGGTTGATAGTACATCAACTGTCAATTTAGTTTGCCAGTTTTATAATTCTGAATTATAAAATGCAAATATTTTAATATTGCTACATATTGATAGCATCTTGCAAAAGATAAGAAAATGTTTTTTGAATCATTCATAATGCTACCAACACATTGATAGAATAACAGGACCTATTTCAGGGCTATCTATCCAATCAACTTAAGATTAAGATACTAAAAAAAAAACCCTTGAAAGTAAATTTGCTTGGAAGAGCTGAGAAAAAAAAAGGAATTTTTGCATAGATGGATTTAAGAGCTGCCATGTCTCCACTAAATTAAATTCCAGTAAATAAGCTTGAATGTCTTGCTTATAAAGTCCCAAATAGTTTTCGAACTATGATATCTGGAATCCTGCTACCTTTCTAAATGAATGCCAAACTTTTAATTCCTATACTGGATTTTGTTTGGTATCTCCCCAGGTACTAGAAGTGTCTGGTAATATGAAACATGTTTTGTATGGCATCTTGATTGTGGCATTTGCTTCTGAATGCTTCTGAATGGGAACAGATTGGCCCCTTCTTGCCTGCTTTCCTCTTTCTAAAGTTTTCAAGATTAGAGAATGTTTTAAATTGAAAACAACATCTGGCAGAAAGAAATAAGAAATAGCAATAATACTTATATACCGCTCCATAGTGCCTTACAGCATTCTCTGGGTGGTTTACAATGTCAGCATATTGCTCCCAACAATCTGGGTCCTCATTTTATCCACCTGGGAAAGATAGAAAGCTGACTAAACCTCAGGATCAAACTCCATGCTGTGGGCAGAGTTTGTTTGCAATACTGCATTCTAAACACTTTGCCACCAGGGCTCATTCATAAATAGTTATACGTATGCATAAAATAGTTCCAAGAAAAATATAAGACATAACATTGTTTCATGAAATAAAACATTCAGGTATAGTATTTAAATATTGATTTTTAAATTTCATAATACATAACATTGTTTCATGAAATAAAACATTCAGATATAGTATGTAAGTAAATATTGATTTTTAAATTTAAAAAAAAACAGATTTAAGCAAACCAGAGTTTTTAATTTATGTAGATAGTATAGTGATGCATTCATTCAAAGTCAAATCAAACTCAAACCAAACATTGTTTGAAAGAACTGTGTAGGACAGGTATTTATTTATTTATGAGACTTATATACCGCTTTAAGTGCAAGCACTCTCTAAGCAGTGTACACCAGTAAGCAATGTATATATATTTTACATTGCCCCCAACAATCTGGGTCCTCAAACTGTATGTCAAACTGCCGGCCCGCGGGCCGGATGCGTCACTCCAAAACCCCGCCCATCCCATTGCCGGCAATGGGGAAAAAGTCACGATACATCGCACGACGTCACATGACGTCGTGAGTTTGACATGCCTAGTGTAGGAAGTCAGTATACACACTCCACAGAGAAGGAAATACTTTGGGGATATTAAAAAAGGCAGAATATTATATTTCCCAGAAGTAATAATAGAAAAATCTTAGATGGAAACCAGCCCCCAGTCTCCCTGCCCCAAACAGATACCAGCTTTTAGAAATGCAGATTCAGTAATCCTTTCAGAAAGAGTGGAGCCAGGAAGCTTGGAGCTGATGGGATTAAAAAGATAAAGACCCAAAAAAATCTACATCCCCCACCCAAAGTTTAAAGACATAATGTTTAGGACATAATAGGGTAGGATTAACTCACCACCATTAGAATATCAAAGGTCAGAGTTCATTGCACAGGAACAACTTCAAACAGGAACAACTCCAAACACAAAACCCCCAAAAGGTATAAAAACCCACCCACTCCCAGCTCCATTTTTGTCAGCTTTCCCAAAACTGCATGCTGTTGCTGTTCCGTTCTTCAATAAACTGAAACTACTTTCCTAAGCAGCCTCCATTTTGTTTATTCCCGGCTTGGACTGGACCCTGAAGATTTTTCTTTCAACAATTTTAATTTATGTAGTTAGTATAGTGATACATTCATTCAAAGTAAAATCAAACATTACTTGAAAGAACTATTTCAAAATTAGCAGGATCATGGCACTTGTATTCATTAAAGCAGCCCATATGATTTTGAGGGAAAAAATCATTGAAGCATCATCATATTTTCTTCAGGCTCATGTTTGGTTTGTAGCACTTCTTCCAAATCATTTTTGAGCATACAACAACCAACATATCCAACAGAAAGTAGCAAGTATGACTGCTTTTCTTTTTCATTCTCAACTAAGTAACAAGGATCTAGTCTAGATTGGACTAGATTGGATTTCTAAGTGCTTTCTAATTTCGGTACATTCCCTGAAATTGGGTAAAGGTGGTTTTAACTTTGGATAGCAACACATAAATCTATTACCCAATCACAACAAAGACATTTAAATTGACTAAGAGTGTTTTACCAATATTGGGTAAAAAGGATTTATAGGTAGTCCTTGACTTACAACCATTCCTTTAGCACTGAAAAAAATATATTTGTAAACAGCTATGCTGCTATGTTGCAGCATCCCCAGGGTCACATGATCCAAATTCAGATGTTTGACCACTGACTCATATTTAGGACAGTTGCAGTGTCCCACGGTCACGTCACCACCTTTTGTGACCTTCTGACAAGCAAAGTCAATGGAGAAGCCAGGTTCACTTAACAACTGTGTTATTAATTTAACAACTGCAGTGATTCATTTAACAACTGTGTTATTAACTGCAGTGATTCACTTAACCACTGTGGCAACAAAGATTGTAAAATGGGAAAAAACTCATTAACAACATAACAACAGCTTAGCAACATAAATTTTGGGCTCAATGGTAGTCGTAAGTCAAAGACTGCCTGTATTGATAAGTAGTTTTGGGTAACAAAGGAAAAGGTTTGTGAAGGACTGCCGTACACTATGTTTTCAGTAATGGCTGGCTCTCTAGTCTTGCCATTTACCAAGGCAGGATGCACTTATTTCGATGGAATTATTTACAAACACACCTTTAAGAACAACACAGCTACATTATCTGTCCCATATCTTTTTAAATGGGGATAGCTTAACATGAGACCCTATAAAGTTCAATTTCATCAGGGGTAGTTTTGCAAAGGCCTCTTTCTAGATTTTTCTATGTAAAGGCTTTCAAGAACATATCTCTGTGTTAGGTTCTCCTGCCTGAGCAGGTGGCTGGACTAGAAGACCTCCAAGGTCTATTCTATTCTATTCTATTCTATTCTATTCTGACAAAGGAGTATATCACCACTTCTAAAAAAAATACACAAAGAAAAAAAAACAACAACATCCAAGACCCTAAACTTCTTTAATTTTATGCTAAGTACCATTTGTGGCTTTTAATTTGCATTTTGCTGAATTTGATTTTTGGGTTTTCTTCATATGCCAAAATTACAAACATATATACAGGGCTTGCCCCTCCAAACAACAAAAAAAAATTCAGCAGATGTTTTCGAAATCAGTATGCAAAACAAAGAATAGAAATGAGCAAAGCAACAGAGTAATACATTCACATCTTTTGATTCAAGAGTTACTTGCTAGGATCCGATGCTGTCTGGTCTCTCCAAAGGAAAAAGCACCTGAAAAAACTCAATTGCCCCATCCCTTCTAAAGGACTCTCACAAGACAAATGTAACAATATGTCAGATCAGATGAGAACAGAAGGGAGAAAAATATGTCAGGACACGCAAAATGTATACGTTAAAACTGCTCTGACCCGTCTTAGGAACTAAACGGTTTGGTTAGAAACCACCATCCTATGTCATTGAGAGAAGATTTGGCATGACTGTTAGCCCAGAAGCATTTCTTCTATCTGAAATACTATTGTCCAGTAGTAGGTTGATTGTATGATTAAAAAAAGATTTGAATGGCATGGGGTGCTTTTCTTTGCTTAAAGTCCAGATTTTTTCATGTAACTTCTATTTTTTTAGATAAACTTTTCAAGTTTAATCACAAAATGAAAGTGCACTTCAAGGTGGACAGTCAGGTATAAATCAGGAAAAGAGCTTTCTTAAAGAAGGGCAGTCGCATTGTTCCTTCTCCCTAGGAATCAGTAGACCCAAGGCATAAAATATTGGCATGATCTTACTGGTGAGAAATAGATCCCCAGAAAGATCCGAGGGCAGAAGGAGAGGGAGGGCATTTCAGAAAATCAAAACAGCAACATCTTCTCTGCAATCAAAGCCCTGTCGGACACGCAATGCGGGTGAAAAAGAGTGGGTCTTGGCTTGCAGGGTTGGGGATAAAACAATAGGGTTGGAAGGGATCTTGGAGGTCTTCTAGTCCAACCCCCTCCCCGTGGCAGGAGATTATATACCATTCCTGACTTTCTTGCCTTTTTTGACACTGCAGATGCCCCTGCGTGGTATAGGGGAAAGAGAAATAATTGCACGCGCTTTACCTGCGCAGGAGAACCCCTAAAATAGAATAACTTGCTTTTTAGGAAGGGAGCAAAGACAAAGATCGCCCCACCCGTTTAGGTTTTGGCTCCGCCCACCTCGCTTCTGGCCTCTCCCGCCGCCTTTTGGTCCTTTGAAAACCCTCACAAGAGTTTCCGGGGCGTTCCAAAAGTGCTTCGCTCTGTCCCCAAGCACGCTGCTTGCATTGCTTTCCGGACATGGCACCCGTTTCTGAAGCAACCGGACGGGAAACCATTTGCTAAACGGGCCGAATAAAGCGGGGAGGAAGCGAGAGCCCGGTCATGCCGGGAGAAACGTCCGAGTGAATTGATCGAGCCTACCTTTACTGTGCTTTTAGCTCCTGGGCTGATGGCCAAGTAAAGGAGCGCAGGGAGGCGCGGTTAACAGCTTTGGTTAGCTACAGGGTAACCGGAAGCCCGTGTTACAACTAGCAAAAAAAAAAAAGAGCTTCTGACGTAACCAAGGAAAAGTTTGTTTCGTATTCTCGCTGCAGCTACGGGACGGATCAAAGAGGCAAAGTCGTTCTGCAGCGCTGCTAAAAAAAGCCGGTGCCCCGCCGAACGCAGCAGCTCCGCGCTCTCTATGGGAGTCACACCCCCCCGCAACATTCAAAAGGTTTCGTTTCTGAATTAACTGGGTTTGTTCTCGGCTTACCTGGGCCCTCAATGCAATGCTTGGGTTTTGTTTGACTTCGGCTTCAAGTCATAGGTGTTTCCCCCCCCCAAAAAAAGATCAGACGCTATAAGGGGTGTCGCTATAATGATTTCTACACATGCTTAGCATGTTTAAATGTGTGTTGTGTATGTGTACACTTTTGAGAACAAGCAACAAAATTTCATTTTTAATGTGTGCCGTTGTGCCCACAGGAAAAAAAATGACAAAGTTTATCTAATCTAATCTTCTATGTTTATGCATAAAGCACTGGGGACCCTGTAACATTCATTCCCACATGCGTTTGTTTGATAGTGAGAAAACAAACTTCATCCATTTTTTTAACCTCTCGCTCCTATTTCAGTCGTAGGTCAGGTGAAATACCCGTCGGTTAAGTTGGCTTGGCTTTTTGAGAAGTTCTTAGAATATAATGTTGGTTTTGCACAAAAGGTCCCTGGTTTTTAGAGAGTGTTTTTATCTTTCAAATACGCCTAAGAGGACAACCAAAGAACATTTATGACCACAGCAAGTCTATTTGGGGAACAAGAAACCTAACTGAGTTACGACACAGTCCACTAAGCACAATGTTCTCTGCAAGAATATATGTTGATCTCTTAATAAAACCCAGTGGCTGAAATCTTTAAACTGCAGATGCCAATGTTAAAGCCAATGAGGTTTATCTGAGATGTGATTATTGCTAATTGAAATCTGGATAGCATATGAAACTCATATGCTTTTAGGACCTTATGCCAGCCCTCAGAGTTCAGTTGAATGTAGCTCATAAATCTTCTTTAAGAAAAGCATATCTGTGTTCAGGAAGTTGCTAATAACAGAAACTTCACAATATGCTTTGTTGTGGGAAGGAAGAAGGATTCTAAGCATCTTTAAGTCTTTCATGTAACTGATCTGAATCTGGAGACTTGTTCATAGTAGCCAGATGTTGACATCTCTCTCTCTCTCTCTCTCTCTCTCTCTCTCTCTCTCTCTCATAAGACTCAGTGTTTAAATCCCAACAATTCCTCAAGAAAAAGAAACCTTAACTAACTCTTCAGTATTTCTTTCCAGCCTTGAGCCTGAAATGTTTTGTGCAATTTTTACAAAACAGTTTTCACAAATCTGAGCAGTGCTGGTTCTTATTATGGGCCCTTATAGGACTCCTATATTTAAGTCTAATCACAAATGATGATTGCAATACTCATAGCTATAAACATTCTTACTAGTTTTATGATTTCTGTGTTTATTAAATCCTATTTTCATTCAATTCTAACTAGTTACCTAGTAAAATGAATGTAAAATCTAGATTTTCAGGTAAATTTACTTATAAGATCAGCCAAGATCTTCACCCCAACAGGCAGCAGCATTACGTTCCATTAGAACAGTGGTGGCGAACCTATGGCACGGGTGCCAGAGGCGGCACTCGGAGCCCTCTCTGTGGGCACACGTGCGTTGCCGCAGCCTTACCTTCCCTGTGACCTCCCTCCTCACCAGCAGTCCCCCTGGAGGAGAGTCGCCCCCAGCATGGCCCACGCAGAGCAAGACTCTGCCATCATGCACAGTTGCTGCGGGGCGTGGGCAGAGGCGTGGCCACCATGGCGCTGCTGGGCGATCTGCAGTGGGCCCTGGAGGCGGTGAGTGGCCCTGTGGGCAGGCAGGGTGGGGCAGGGGATGGAGCAGGGGTGGGGCCAGTTTTTGGGCACTCGGTCTCTAAAAGGTTTGCCATCACTGCATTAGAATATATTCCTTGTTAAAAGTGCACATTAAAAAGGCATGTCTTTTTTTAAAAAAAAAATGTGCATTTAAATGATAATGAATGCTTTGAAACTTTGGTACCAAAAGACACAGTCATATTAAAACAATAAAATATTACATTAGGGAAATTCAGATATAAAAAGTCTATAGTGAGAACATTTGCCCAATCAAGAATGGCATTATGGAAATTGCTTGAGGAATTTACATTAACAGTTATGTACTAAAGGGGAAGTTGTGTTCAAAAGCTCCATATGTTAGGGAAAGTTGTGAATGAAAACAGATGCAGATTTTTCACAGTTTTTTTAAAAAAAAAAACATAACCATAGACTGGAATGTTTCTCTACTGATGTAGATTGTGAAACAGAAAAAAATTGTATCAATTTGCACATGTCTACCTGTTATTGTGAATTTTCCCCCCTCCCAAAATCAAACAATATATCAACCCTTCAGCTTTCTGTTATTACTGTCTCAAGATCCAAAGTAAAAACTGAAGTAAAACCAGAGAATATGAAAGCTGCCATGGATGCAGCTTTCTGCAAGTCCTTTGCCTTAGGCATTCGTCATCAGCCCATTAATTCATTTAGTGCAGTAATGTTAATGGCTCTCCTGGTAGCACTTCTGTAGGGTGTGAAATGAAGCTCTCTCATGGCTGAAGGTAGTGTTTTTGGAATACAAAAAGAGAACAACCGAAAAGAAAAGCTAAGAAGGCCCTTAAGAGTGTTAAAAGATATTCATAATTTTGGTAGTTAACTGGTTGTTCAACTCTAATATCCATTGGTTCATTCTGGACTCCATGAGATTTTCATTGCCTGGGGACAAAAGTCTCTTGACCATTTACAGATAGTCCTCGACTTACAACCACAATTGAGCCCAACATTTCTGTTGCTAAGTGACACCCTTTTTAAGTGAGTTTTGTCCCATTTTACAACTTTTCTTGCCGCACTCGTTAAGTGAGCAACACAGTTGTTAAGTGAATCTGGCTTCCCCATTGATTTTGCTTGTCAGAAGGTCGCAAAAGGTGATCACAAGACCCCTGCAATTGCTGTAAATATGAACCAGTTGCCAGGCATCTGAATTTTGATAACACGATGCTGTGACAGTCATAAGTGTGAAAAATGGTCATAAATTGCTTTTTTTCAGTTCTTGTAACTTTGAACGGTCACTAAATGAATGGTTGTAAATTGAGAACTACCTATACTTTTGATTAATCTCATTGAAAATATCCAGTGTGTATGATCTGAGTTTCTTTAAAAAAATAAAAATAAATCCAATTTCAGATCCTGAATTTTTGTAAAGCACCAAGATTTTTTTAGAGGAAAACATGTGAACACTCTTATAAAATGAGTGCAGAAACAATGGTCCAAACATTAAATATGAGTAACTTCCTAACAGAGAGACAATTTGATGTAGTGGTTAAAGCATCTGTCTAGAAACTGAAAGACTGTGAATTCCAGTCCCACCTTGGGCCCAAAATCAGCAGAGTGACCTTGCGCTGCTCCCCTCTCTCAGCCCTATGTCGAAGTCCAGAGCAAACCACTTCTGAAAAACTTGCCAAGAAAACTGCCAAAAAGTTGCCAAAAGTCAAAAACTGACTTGAAGGCGCACGCACACATGCACACAACTTCATAACAAGTATTAAGCAATGAAAAAGTTGTCCCAAAGATGCTTTTTCACAAGGCAGCTGCACTTTCTTGTTTTTCTTTGAAGACGTTTCGCTTCTCATCCAAGAAACTTCTTCAGCTCTGACTGGATGGTGGGGAATGGTCACCATCCAGTCAGAGCTGAAGAAGCTTATTGGATGAGAAGTGAAACGTCTTCAAAGACAAACAAGAAAGTCCAGTTGCCTCGTGAAAAAGCATCTTTGGGATAGCTATGACCTGGATGACTGAGAATCTCCACAGACAATGAAAAAGTCAAATTTAAGGTAGGGTTTAGCCAAAGTATGAGTACAATTAATTTACATTAATTTTGTAAATCTATATTTTTGTCCAGAAATCTATTTTGCCATCCTGTTATTTATAAAAGTGCTCTTAAGATTCACTTTTGTGGAAAACTAATTGTTGGTACAAGAAATGCTTCAAATCCATTTGGACATTTGGTATCAGATGTGGAAGAAAAAGCCTTGCAGGGTTTGCCATAAGTCCTTCTTTTTCTCTTCAAGTTTTCTGTCCAAGGAAATCCACCCTTGGCACTTCAACTCCCAGAGTTCCTCAGCCAGCCAATCTGGGAGTTGAAGTCCACAGGTCTTAAAGGTGCCAAGGGTGGACACCCCTGCTTTAGTCCAACTGGAGACTGAAGACTCCGCCATTTTAAAAAAAAGGACAGATGGTAGAAGCAGTGGCAAAGAGGCAACAAATTAGCATTTCTGGATGCAGCTTGAAGTCCAGGAAGACTCTGGAACCAGTCAGAAGGACCAGCTATTGAGAAAAGGATGAATGGCAGCAGAACAAAAGTGATAGCAACCATTGGAATGTCCCTTCCCTGAACAAGAGTCTCAAGTCTCAAGATGAAGCCTCTGAAAGAACCCTACAAAGCCTCAGCATAACCAGGACAAACAGACTGAAGGGTAGCTCAGCCTGGGAAAACAGAATTACAGCCGGGAGGGGAGACATCCAATGCTGCCTATGATTCAGGAGCTAGTAAATAGCCATCAAAAACAGCCCTTGATAGCTTCCCAGAGGGTCAAGCTATTGAAAGGTGGCTAAGCACCTCATCATTAACAGAGGTGGTGATAATTAAAAAACTGTCAAACTAAAAAAAATATCCATAAAATCTGGAAGATTTATATAAGGGAAGCCTAGAAATATATACAGAAGCAATGCTCGAGTAAAACACAGAAGATGCCAGAATAAAGCGTAGAGAAATAAAGCAGAAATACGTAACTACAGACATTTAAAAAATGTCATAATAGAAAAAATATAGAGAAGTAGGCTAGACATATGTGGAAATAAAAAATATATATCTAGAAATGGGAGATAGGTATCAAAGTGATAGTCATAAGTCATAGAAATACAAAGAAACAAAATCCTAAATTGTGTAGAACAAGAGATACTTGTTTTCTTATAAAATATTCTCCCTTAAACTAAAGGAAGATAAAATTCTCTCTCACACACACACACACACACAAACACACACACACACAGAGAGAGAGAGAGAGAGAGAATGAAGAGAGATTCTTCCTTGCTTTTCTAACTTATTTTCCAATCTGGTACTCTAGTGATGTAGTGATGACTATCCTGGCTAGGAATTATTACATTTGGCCACAGGAAAGTGATTGCAAATCTTGCACAATGCCTATAGCTGTAATGGCAACCAAATTGATATGGTTTTAAAAAAGGCCTGGACAAATTAATGGAGGGTCAAGCTATCGGAAACTACTAATTTGATAGCCAGCTCCTGAATCATTGGCAGCATGCTTAAATCCTGTTTCATGGAAGTGACAATGCAAGTGACACTCATGTAGGCTTATGAGTTTCTCAAATGCATCCAGTATGGCACAGAATGCAGAACAAGGCCTGTTCTGGTCTCTGAGCTCTTTCAGTGTTATGATTCACATATTTAATTATCCCACTGGCTTGGTGCAATGTATGAAACCAGACATTCTCTTTTTTTAATTCTCTTGAGGTAAAAGGGAAACGAGAGATGGCTGAAACAGAACAATTTACTTCTAATTTGTTCAAACTGTTGCCATGAATCGAATTTAGGAAACCACAGTGAGAGATGAATGCCATCACGACCAAAGTACCAAATGCAGAGAGGAAAGGTCTGCCATTAAAGAGCTAGAACAAAGGAAAGTAAATCTTTTTGTTGAAAACTGTGTAACTGCCTTATAGCTCTTGTCCTTGCTAGACAATTGAGCTCATTTAACTTCCTTAGAAATCAGAAAATATTGTAATTAGACAAAAGCTACATAAGACCAGCTAACTAAGGCTTTGTACTGAGGGGCCAGGCTGTGGATGTGAAGAACGTCAAGCGACTTTTGTCAAGATGCAGCGAATCTAATCACCATCACACAATAGCGATGACAGAAGCTAAACAATTGTGCAGAGGGTTTTTCCTCCCTTATCTGAAACAATATGAAATAATGAGCTGTAATCTGATCTGTATTTTCTGTTGCAGGGCAGGTGGATAGTCAGACCGTGAATCCATTTTCTCTTGGCCATTTCATTGAGTCAGGGATGGAAACTAAGTGAGAAGTTGCTGAGTCTGTAAAATTAACAAACTTCTTCCATACAGTCCTTGAACTTCTGCAGAGAACGCTGACAGAATTGACCCACAACAGACTTTCAAAGTAAGCCTTTGAACATCCAGTTCCTTTCAAAATCCAGAACCCTATTTTCACAGGTAAGAATCATACTATTGTCAAGCTATAAAAATTGCTTGCATTAGGACTGCCATGCTGCTTCTAACTTGCCTGCAGCTGCAAGGGGGGAGGAAAAGATTTGCAATGCACAGGTGGATTCTATCCAGATGGGAACCAAGGTCACCAAAGAAATGTTGTGGCAAACAGCATAACAACTGTGATGATCTAAACTGTGAGAGAGGGGAGGGAAAGTTTTACTCTTTCCCCCACCATATTGCCAGAGGTGGTTTTCAACTCTTCAGGGCCGGTATGTGATACCTAATAAAGTTATACATTAGAAATCTAGATGACTCTGGTATATTTACTTCATTGAGATCCTTAGCTGGAACCCTAACAACTGTCTTATTATGAATATATTGCACCTACAATATGCTATCATATGATAGACCAAATGAGAACCAGTTTATTGTAATGACTAAAGTACCACATAAACCCTTCCACAAATTTTGTGCAGTTACATTTGCAATTTGAAATAGATGCTGAAAGGAGATTATAGTAAAGAAAATGGTCAAATGACTCTGAAAAGAACTAATTTACTCTTTTTTTTTACTCTGAGAAACACCTATTCTGAGGTGCTCTTGCCCAAACTGGGTGACAACAGAAGGAACTCAAAAAAGTCAAGAAGACACTGATCATCTGATTGAAACATTGCCGCACAATGTAGTCACCATCACCTTCCTGACCTTGTTTCACTACCTCTATGGATGTTTCTGCAATCTAGGAGAGCAGGTGGACCCTCCTTGGTAGGAAGAACCATGAGAAGAATGGAAATTTTTCCCAAAGTAACAAATCCACCCATTTAGAGGGCACCAAGTTGAGAAAATGTGACTTTGGAATAATATCGCAATTGAAAAAATTGACTTTTTTACAGTTGCTACTTTTTGTCAGCCCCCAACCAGCAATTGGCTCTTCTGATCATCTACAGAAGAAGAAACCACCCACCTGTGTTCATACTGGGATGCGGTTCTTCAAATTGGTTAAAATGGCTATAGAATTTGTAAGCATCTTTTCAGGTACTTAACCATTTCAAAGGAGAGATTTGTTTAGCTATGAATGGTTCTATCTCTATCCCATCTTACCATCAGGTCAAAGTAGCACTCCATATTCCCTGTCTTCTCACAATGGCTCTACAAAGTTAATTGGAAACATCATAATTGGGTCGTGGCTGGGGAAAGTGGACAATTGAATACAGATCCCGATAGCTGTAGCCTGATACGGGAGGCAACCTGAGGCCTGTGGCTACATGTAACCCTTAGCTTTCTTTTTCTTTCTTTTTCTTTTGCAGATCACAAAGCCCCTTCCAACCACAATGGCCAAAACAAAACAAAAAAAGCAGTGTGGTTTCCCATCATTTTAAAATAACACATGAAATGTGAAGTGTGAGTCTTACAAAAGGATTAACAATGGACCTCTTTGAGCCTTCAGGTAGCAGAAATGCTCATCATGTTAGCAACCAGGCCTAATATTTTTTTAGGGGTTCTTGGATGTTTAATTATAATAGTATATTTACTTGGAATGTAGCTGGTTTAGATAGTCCTTAACATACTACCACAGTGGAGCCCCAAATTTCCAAGGCAGTTGTTAAGGGCCCCGTTTTATGACCTTTTTGCCATGATTGTTAAGCAAATCACTACGGTTAATTGAAATGTGGTTGTTAAGTGCATCTTGCTTTCCCCATTGACTTTGCTTATCACAAGCTCCCTAGGAATGTTGTAGACGGCAATCCCAGAACCCCAGGATTCTGCAGCCATCATAAACACCTGCCGATCGCAAAGCACACAAAGTTTGATCACATGACTTATGATCACGTGTCATAAGTCACTTTTTACAGTAACTTTGAATGGTCATTAAGCAAGTGCTTGTAAGTTGAGGATTACCTGCATATTGTGGGAAATATTAACGGAAGATAGTTTACCTAACAGACTGATATGCTCAGCACTCGGGCTGCCTGAATATATTTAAGGACCTGTAGTTGAAGTCTAAATAAAATGCAGTGAGGAACTCAAGAGATTCCTGGCCCAGACAGTTGCATGTGGGCAATGAGCATACCTCCATGGCTCTATTACTCTGTCACTATAGCCCAGCGTGCCTGGCTGAGGAATTCTGGGAGTTGAAGTCCACAAGTCATAAAAGGGCCAAGTTTGAAGACCCCTGCTATAGCCCACAATCTCCTGAAAAATGTTATGTGCCTATTGTTGGTCACCAAAAGTATGTCTATCCCTGTTCAATTTTAACATAGTGTTTGATTCAGCTAGCACAAACCTCACTGGGGTCATTTCAGTTAAGGAAAGTCCTCAGAATGCCTTAGACAAGTGAGACAGTCGATTAAGTAGACCTCTATTTACTCTTTGGTCGCAGGGGGCTCTTTGATCATCTTGACTGCCATTCCCAGTCTCCTAACATCACTTGCCATCACTTTCCTTTCATAAACCAGACTTAAGCACAGATAATGCCATTCATTAGGAGCACCAGGCAGACATGGTGGAGCCCATTTGCAATCATTTTTTTGCTGTTGATGCCTGAGGTTCTTGTTGTAAATTATATATTATTATTATTTTTTTTTAAAAAAAGTGAGGTCTGGATGAACTCATCAATGCTCATTAGTAGCATTACATTGCAGGATGCTATTTGAAAAGCTATTAAACTCGATTGGTAAGACTGATTGTTTGTGCTGTTTTATTTCCTTTTTGTTGTTATTGTTGGCGTAAGTGTCAAATTAAAGATATACCCATAGCTTAGCACTATGCATATTCATTGTAAAGTAAGTCCTCACTGTGTTCCATCAAGCTTTATTCTCAGGGAAGCGTGCTTAAAACTTCAACCTAATTATTATAACTTTTTCTAGCTCTGCAGCCCTGAACTTTATTTATTCAATTTATATCCTGGCACAGGCTTTAGGGAGCCTCAGAATATTTAAAAGTCTCCTGGTAGTTAGTTCCCCCTTGGGAAAACAACAAATAACATCTAGAGGAATGCATATCAATAAATAAAAGGTTTTCAAGCAGTGGTCCGTGTAATCTGATCATTGTTCTTTACAAGGTGACAGAGAAGTTAAAGAGTGTTGGTATGACAGAATAACTTTGAACTGGACACTCTTGTTCAGCCCATTCTATGGCCTGCAATGGCTGTTACTGAGGTAAAATGAAAGGAGATCCTCATTTAAATTGCCTTGAACTCTGGAAGGAAATTTGAGGGATATACAGGTAGTTCTTGACTTATAACTATAATTGTGCCCAAAATTTCCATTGCCAAGATAAAAACAATTGTTAAGTGAGTTGTGCCCCATTTTATGACCTTATTGCCACAGTTAAGCAAATCATAAATGAATCATGCAGTTACCAAGCAAACCTGGCTTCCCCCAAGTTTTGATCACATGATTATGGGGATGCTACAACAATTGTAAGGTGAAAACTAATAGTCTCTTTTTTCAAGCTTCTGGAGCCTGGATCCATGGTCGCGGAGCGATTTTGCGCCCCCCCCCCAGCAGCCCGATCCAAGCTCTGGAGGCCTGGAAAAGACCTCCGGAGTCCAGATCTGTGGCCATGGAACAATTTTGTGGCCCCCCAGTGGCCCGATCTGGGCTCTAGAGGCCTTTCCAAGCCTCCAGAGCCCGGATCCATCGCCGCAAAGCGATTTTGTGGACCCCCTGCAGCCTGATCCGGACTCCAGAGGCCTGGAAAAGACCTCTGCCACTCAGGTCTATGGTGGCGGAGTGATTTTGCGGTTCTTGCTGCCGCTCCGATCTGAGGCCAGGGGACGCGTCCACAGCCCCTCCACGACCCGATCCAGGCTCCGGAGGCCTGGAAAAGACCTCTGCCCCCTGGATCTATGGCCACAGAGTGATTTTGCGGTCCCCCTGCGACCCAGTCCGGGCTCCAGAGGCCTTTTCCAGGGGGGTCCATAAAATTGCTCTGCAAACACACCTTTACTCGCACTGCCAGCTTAGAAGGAACCGGTTCTTCCATTCAAAAAAATGTGCCAGAACGCTGTTCCGTACATTCTATGACAAAAAAAGCCCTGCATATACACACACACAATTCACTCACACACAAATTGCTCAATTGCACAGCAAGGACTATTGATAGAAATCTGGAGCCAGCTAATATCACTCTATGCATTCTTACTCTAGGTAAGTGTTCATAAGTATGCAGAGATTATTGTGCTGAACGTGATACTGCTGGGAAAATAGTCTTGAAAGTATTTAAAACAAAAGCAGTTAACAAAAAGCATGCTTCCTCTGTAATATTTATTTATTTATTAACCAACATCATACCCTATCACAGTCAAAAGACTCTAGACAGCTCTTATTATGACCCGATTCACTGGTAAACTTGCTTAGTGTTTCTAGCCCTGCTAAACCAGTGTGCCAGTCTCATCCTCTTTATTGATTACTTTATTAAGAAAATTTATATGGCCACCTAACTCATTCACAGTGACTCTGGGCAGCTTATAGAAATAAAATCCCAAACACAAAACCTACTGAACCTTCTCCCTGGTGAGAACAGTCAAACAAACCACTTGTTGGGCTCTGCATCCCTCGGGGGTCTCCAGGCTCACTGACAACATACCATTTCTTCAGGATTTTTCAAAAGAATATCAAAGTGGAGGCCAATCTTATCTCCAGAGGGATGATCTTCCTCCTCTTATTTTCTTTCACATGGAGAGGTTCTCTATCCAAAGAAGTTTGAAAGAATATCAAAATGGATGTGTGCATATGGATGATTATCCATATCCCCACCCCAAAGTACAAGTGTTCACTACAGCGATGGTTCTCAGCCACCCATGTATTCATCCCCATGACAGACAAAAGAGAGAAGAGCAAAGAAGATTGAGTTGCTCTTCAATTTAGTGTGCTAAGGCAAATGGAATACCTTGGCAGACTTTTTCTTGATATTCTCTATAATATCTGTAAGGTTTAGGCTATTAAGCAAAAAACAAAATAAATTATTGGCCTCCCAAGTTCCTTTTCATAATTTGGGAAATAGTTTACAATAAGTTTATAGTTTTTATGTCTCTAAAAATACCATAACTAAGATGAGAAACAGATAGACAGACAGAGACAGGTAGATAGACAGTCCTGATAAATGAGGTACTACAGTACAGTTAGGAAAATGGAAGGGAGGAGAAAAAAAGATTTGAAACTGACAGATTTATGAAAATTCTTGGAAAAATTATGAATTAGAATAAATATATATATTGGGCATACAATTAGTAGAAACTTGAGCAATAGAGCAACTTTACAATTTTGTTTAGTCCTTTCCTAAACAAATCTATAAGCATGTTTTTCTAAATTTTATGATGCAGTTTTTGGTTCAAAATTAAGTATAATGCATATAACAGTTATATAAGATGGCAATACATAGTTTAAAGTATATGTTATGAGAGAGACCATTTGTAAATCTGGATTTTATACAAAAATACCAGGACTGATTAAAAATCTTTCCTATTTTTTTCAGAGGTCTCAAATTGAAAACCTAAGGGAAAAAAAGTTCTCAGTTTGTTGGAAGAATTTTTTACTAAAATTGGAGAAAGAGTTTGCATTTTAAGCAAAAAATTGAAGTCTCTCCCCCCCCCATTTTGGAACTGTTTCTGTTTTTATTTTTTTATTTGCAGTAATCACAGTTCAGCTGCAAATCCACTTGAAAGTCTCTCAACAATTCTGGATATATTGTGTGGTACCAGTATACTTCCTTAGAAGGAAGAATCATTGAGTTCACCTTGTTCCTAGGTAATTGGATATAAGATTATAATTTTATGCACCCAATGTACTCTTCAAGAAAAGAAATGCCACATTCATAACATGATGATAAGATTATGTCCTGTACCTTATAAGCCCTTTTAAATTTATTAATCTTGATGTAAAGCTTTATCAACTTTATAGCTTGTGAATCTAAGTATATATTTACCAAATTCAATAAATCAAGACTGTATTTTTATAAAAAATACTATTACACATTTAATAAAGTAAAATTACTGCGGGTAATGCGTAATAATAGTAGTTATCCTACTAAGTGTTTTCTGCCATCCTCTAGCTTTAGCTTTGATATCTTTTTCATAATATATTATTCCCACCAGGACTCAAAAGAAGAGAAAATGTTATATATTACTCTTATTTTTTTTCCTGGCATATCAGATTTTTAAAAAGGGTAATTTTTGTTATTGAAAATTGCATATCCAGTCTTCCTATTTTCTTTGTAATAAAACTCACTTCCAATTTAGCAAGGGATGAGTAGCCTACAATAAAGAGGAAGTATTGTTTAGATCTGGAATCTGAAATGATTGATGTACAAATGGATAACCAAATGTACCATAATAATAGATACTTGAGTGATAAAAAAATGAAGGATAATGACATTAGTATTTTTTTGCTGACTAGTGATTACATCAAAAACAAAACCAGCATCAAAAGTGTCAAAAGATTTACTACCTGTTGCAAAAAAAGAGAGAGAGCCTTGGTTCCTATTGTTACTGTACTCTTACTTTAAAAAATGATCTATCCATATAAGACCTCATTGTTTCTAATTTGTTTCCTTGTTTGAGTGATTATGTAAAGGGCATTCTTTAAAGCAGTAAAAAATATGTTTGCTTTCTAAAAGAATATTACTATTTCCTCTATATTAGTTTCACCTTTTCCTTTTCCTCTCTGTATAGGAAGAGGGCTCTGGGCTTTTTAAAGAGACCCCAACACAAAGGAAAAGAGAAGGAATTAAATGGAGATGCCAGGCCTAATCTGGCATGAAACAATCCAGCCCAAGACCAGTTCTTTATTTGCTTATATAGACAGAATCTTGCCAAACTAAACCTTTTCTACTCTCTACTCTCACTCTAAGGCAGAGGTCCCCAATCTTTTGGGCACCAGGAACCAGTTCTGTGGAGAGAGGTTTTTCCGTAGACCGGAGGGTGCATGATTTTGTGTGTGTGTCTTGCAGATGGGGCTTTGCTTGTTTGTGGGGCCCAGTTGCTGGCATATTGCGGCTCAGTACTGGTCCATGACTGGGAGTTGGGGACCTCTGCTCTAAGGGAGATTCTAGGAAGTGGCTATCCTCAATCTCTTTCCACAATCCAGCTCCAGACAGTGCTGTCTCTTGTCTCAATCACCCCTCTTCTTTGAATGTGCTCCCTCCTTCCTGGGAATCTGCTGTGCTACTGTAGTCCATCATATCATCTCACTTTTCATAGACACATTCCATCACGCCAGGCTAGGAAATAATCTTGGATGCTTTCTTTTTGGTTCAGTGGTTCCTCCTCCCAGCAGAAGGAGCAGAAGCTACCTTTTACTCATACCTGATTAGTTCAGAACCTATTCTGAGAGGCCAAGCAGTTCTTGCTTAGTGATACAAATTCTAGAGCAGAGGTCCCCAACCTTTTGGGCACCAGGGACCGATTCCATGGAAAAAGTTTTTTCCATGCACAAGAGGGGGCGTGGTTTTGTGTGCTGCCTGCATCCCACAGATGGGGCTTTGCTTGTTTGTGTGGACTGGTTTGTGGAATGCCACGGCCCGGTACTGGTCCACGGATGAAGGGTTGGGGACCCCTGTTCTAGAGCATAGATTGTAGATATGCATAGTAGACAGGATAGAAGAGAGCATAAGGCAATTTTCTCTTTCTTGAATTACACCAGATGTGCAGCCTTCAGCTCCTGGAATGTTTTTGCAATGCCAT